GAAGCTGCGGGTGTCATGCTTGCAGGTAGAGCGTGTGCTGTGGGCTCCTGGAGACTGTGGGACTGGTGCTCTTTATTGAGGTGATGAAGCGGAGATCTCACAGATCTAGTCTGGGCCAGAGGAACCGTCACACCCTGAGGTTTAGATCTCTCCTCTTCCTCTCCATAAAGGAACTTTTCTTCATCTTCAACACTCTGAATTGCAGGCTTGGCCTCTGAAGGAAGGTTAGCGGGGTTCCAGGATAAGAAATTGGAAAAGCTGCTGCTGCTGTCTACACCCGTCGTCTCCTGAGGAAACGAAGAGCTGTAATACAGTCCAGCAGAGGGTTCGGTTTCAAACCTCGGCTCAGGGTCCTGGAAGGTTCTCAGTGCAGATTGATTTTCTGGATATATGGTTTCATCATTCATCTGGATAGAAGAAAAGGTATGTCAGCAAAAAAAAAAAAACATGTTAAAGGCTCCATTTAACCCTGACATTAAGATGAGTTTCCACAAATATGACTAAATATGTATTTGAAAAGACCTTTGTCTAGATTGCTTTTGTAGTGTAAATGCTCATGTAGTCGAATGCAATTGCTGTCCACATCTTTTTCAATCACCAACATACTAACTCATAAATGGCAGACACCACAAAATCAAGTCTCATCAAAACATGTTAATCATATACCATTATATATATGGAAAATTTTATATTAAACATATATTTGTAAAATATAGCATAAACAGCATAAATTCTAGTGGTGTACCGGATCACAAATCTCACGGTTCGAATCACATTATGGTGTTTCTGTCACGAATCTGACCATTTTTCGGATCAGCCAAAAATGTTTGTCATTTTATAACCAACTCAAAAGACTAAAGACTGAATCGCTTTCTTGATTTTTGTGTTTTTCAAACATAGATTTGAAGAATTAATAAACATATGCAAATCATTTAAAATTTGTTGCGTGGGTGTTGAGATCCTGATCTTTTAATCATTAATCGTGCAGCTTACACTAAATGCTTTAATGCAGGCTTAACAAATATTGACAGAAAACACCTTTAATGAAACCCACCACATCCCGAATAACCTACCACAACTTCTTTCGTCATCATTATATTTTACAGGAAAGCCTAAATGCTTTCATGCATCTGATTTGAAAGATGCGAGAAGTGATCTCTCTAATTTAGGATTAATATAAAACCAAAAGAGTTATATTCATTCGCAGGCCAAACCGTGGGTTGTGATCCCTACGAATCACCCATCAACCATGATCCATTACACCCCTAATAAATTCTGGACTCTAAATATGATCAAGCTCTTAAAAACACAAGAGAAGTTATACTTTTAGTTGATTGCATTTCCTCGTATTTTGAAATAAATTGAAAGCTATATTTTTAGATTTCCCATACACGGAGTTCACTTTTCGGTGTATAAACACTAAGCAAAAAAATAAAGCATGCATTTAAAAAAAAATGTGTATCCTTAAATCAATGACAAAAAAAAAAAAAATCAAGTTGTTTGACCCGCAAACTATAAAATGATCTCAACTCCAAAACATAACAGAATAGGATTGCAAACCTGGCTTCTAAGGAGGGCGTTCTTGACCAAAGGCAGGTGTTTCTCCAGCTCTTTGTTCTGAAGGATCTGTCTTAGTCCTTGAAAGAGATCAGGCATGGTGTTAGAGCTTTGAGTGCCTCCACCGCTGGTGCTGCTGGAGCTGTGGTTGCCCTCTGCTGTTCCTCTGTGAGTCTGTTTGGTGTGGCTGGGGCTCAGGCGAGGCTGACTCTTGCTGTGTGTGCTGCTCTTCCCGTGACTGCGGCTGCGGCTACGGCTGCGGCTCCTGGCTCGACTTTTGGCCCTTGTGCGGCTTTTACCTCGACTGCGACTGCGTGATCTGCTGCGAGCTCGACTCTTTCCGCGGCTCCTAGCTCGACTGCGGCCCCGGCTCTTGCCACGACTCCTGCTGCGACTGCGAGCGCGGCTCCTTCCTCTGCTCCGACTGCGTGCTCGACTCGAGTGTTTGTCTGCTGTACGATCCGTGCTGTCATTTTTATCTCCTGCTGGCTCAATACGGTCACTTGCCCCCAGGATTCGGAGAAACTCCTCTGCCTTTTTTCTATTTAGAAGCACAAAGAAATGTAATGTAATGTGTATTTATATAGCAAATTTATTGTGTATGGCCATACACCCAGAGCGTTTCACAATCATGAGGGCGGTCTCTCCACACTACCACCAGTGTGCAGCATCCACTTGGACTGCACACAGAGCAGCAGTCCAGCAAACTACCTGTAATGTTTCAACTTCTCTTTCCAGGAACTTGCCGGAACAAATTTAATAATATTTTCAAAAAGGGCCTGTTCACACAAATGTGAAAGGGGCTAGTGATAGAGCCAATTGATAGATGGGGATGATTGGGAGGCCATGATGAATAAGGGCTGATGGAGGGAATATGGCCAGGACACCTGGGTTACATCCCTACTTTTTTTACACCTTAAAAAGTGCCATGGGATTTTTAATAACCACAGAGAGTCAAGACCTCAGTTTGACATCTCACCTGAAAGAAGAATTACATGGATAGTTTTATGGAAATGCACTGAAGTTGCGCTTACTGACAGCATAGCCTCCCCTTCACTATACTGGGGTATTAGAACTCACACAACCCCCTGCTGGCTACTAACACCACTTCCAACAGCAACCTAGTTTTCCCATGTGGTCTTCCATCCAGGTACTGACCGGGTGCAGCCCTGCTTAGCTTCAGTGAGTAACCTCTTTTGGGCTGCGGGGTGATAAGGCTGAGGCTATATTTAATGGAAAGAAAATGTAGATTGCTCAGGGGTACATATTATTCATTCATTCATTCATTCATTCATTTTTTTTTCAGCGTAGTCCCTTTATTAATCTGGGGTCGCCACATCGGAATGAACCGCCAACTTCTCCAGCACGCTTTGCACAGCGGATGCCCTTCCAGCTGCAACCCATCACTGGGAAACATCCATACACACTCATTCACACCTACACACTACAGACAATTTAGCCTACCTTATTCACCTATAGCGCATGTCTTTGGACTGTGTGAGAAAACAAAGCACAAAATGCAGCAACTAAAATGTCACTTAGTGTATAATAGTTTATACATCAAATCATCATCTTGTCTGGCATTTTAGGGCCACAATAACATATTAAAATGTTTATTAAAAGTCTATCACATTGCAACATTAGAGTACAGTTTATACGGCTTTAATAATTTATTTTTATTTGATCCTTTTTGATCTTTTGCCCTTGACCCACATACAGTTGTGTGACACAAATTGATCTCACTTTAAACAAACTTTGACTCTACTTTTTTCTCCAATCATACCTGACTTCTTGGTTTTGCTCATCCAGACTTTTAGTTGACCAGTTTTGTGTGGACTGACCAAGCAAAAGCTGATTTGATGGTGTGATCATCGTGGAACCGCTCTGGTCAGTAGTGAGACCACCAAAGGGTCGGTTCTGCAGTGGAGAAAGAGCAACATAAAAAATATCCGTCATTAATAATAATCCTGTGAATGTGTTATTCAAGTAAAACATAGGCCATTGATTGACCTATAGTAGAAAGCCATGAAACCACAATGCATTTTATTCGAAGATTGAACCCCTACTGCTTTAAATCTAAAAAAAATAACGTTACCGCCAAATTACTTTTAACAAAAGTAAATCAGCATATAAGGTTAAATTAATTACTGAGATGCTAAACAATCCTTAAACTCATTTTTAATCACATGACATCACACTCATTGATTGCATGTCAAGTTCCACATACAATACCGAAATCATTGAACTATTATTTCGTGCACCGCTATCAAAATGCATATCTTGCATTAAATCCATAAATATACATGACATAGATATAATAAAACATATTTTAAAAGACGTAACGTACATCCGGTATTTATATCAGCTCGATCTGTGGGACAAATAAGTGCAGGTTGTTTTTATGAATGCACAGTAAAAACTCGCACCTCGTAGAATGAATCTCTGTTGTAGTTTTCATTGCCTGGTCCGTACGGGCGTCCCGGAGGGGGAATAGGCTGCGGACTGCAGTATCGAGGCCCCGGAGGAGGAACCCCAAAAGGAGGACAGAACGGCGGAGGTCCGAAAGGTGCTATAGGGTGTCCGAAACGTGATGGAGGTACCGGTGCCCGGTGATAGTCGGGGTTCGACGGACCTCGGTACATTTTTAAACATCAATATCTCATAGATACATGTGTTGTTGTAACGAGTTTGTTTCCATTCACTCTGAGCTATGAGCTCTTCTGGGTCTAATATGAGTCTGTGTCCAGTCACAGCGCCGTCTGCAGGACTGGAGAAGTAACGCACATTATATAGGCGATTCAAAACAATGCCTGTTCAAAACTGTTTTGCTCACTTTACAAAGGCAAAATGACTAATTCACACAAAATTGAAACTGTTAAATTTATAATTTAGATTTTTTTTGCTTAGATTCTATTAATTTTATATATTTCACTTTATTTTATTTCGAGTTTGTACAATTTCTACACTTCATCATAGACACAACAAATATTTTTCAATATTTTTTATGCCAATAATTAAATTACCCAAGATATAAGATCATCGAAAAGGTACCATTATCCTAAAGTTACATTTCATAGCACATCATTTATTTGTTTGTTTATTTACTAATTCATGTTTGTTTTTATCAAATTTTTATTTATTTATTTTGGCCTTTTTTTAAAAAACATTTATCTTGACTTTTTTCGATTTGGTTCAGGTTTTTCTGGTTTTGGATTTACATGGAAACATTGTAGTCTGCATTATTTCGTGTATATGGGTTTTTTCCGATATTTATAAAATGTCATATTAAAATACAGCTTTATTTCATGATTTAATAAATAGTTATTTGTGTTTATTTGTCTTTTTATATCTTTAGAATATCGCGTGAAACATAAACATGGATTCAGTTGTTTAGACAGAGATGGTTTAGAGTTTTAGAAATATATTCCGGCATATATTTGGTCAGCTTAAAGTGCTGAGACGAGGGCCCCATTATGCCAACCTAGCATTGCAGTCGTTACGGCTGCTAGAGGGAGTGATTCACAATGGAAGTTACTGATATTCTTGACTCTTTGGAGGACCTGGGGTATGTGAATGAAGTCCCCATTTATAATATGTGTTTCTGTTGTCTTATTAGAGGTTTATATTTTGGTTTACGGCACAAATGTGATCATTAGCACGCGTGCTCTGGTTCGCCGGGTGTTCTGCATGGTCTGACACCCAGATCCGCTTCTCTTATTCTCAACGTCTGTAGTTTACATCTGCTTTAAGCTGTTATTTTCAAACGTTTTGTAACCCTCAGTAGTCGAGATCTGTTGTATGTCAGGTCATTTCAGAGCCTGGGCTACTGGCACATGTATTTGACAGCGTGATTTCTGTGATCAATGTTCTGATTGGGGCCGTGCAGCCCTGCCCAGCCCAGCAGTGCTTAAATATCTCAAATATCGCCAGCGCCAGAAATAGCCTGAATCATCATAGCCTAAACGAACACACCTCTGTCACCACTGCTGTGTCAGACGAGTTTACAAGATTATCAAGTCCATAGACTGTTCTAGAATCAGTGCAGAACTGACAAACATGGGTGGGTTTTGGATGTTTTATGTAATGTATTTTTAATGCTATTTGATGACTGTACCTAATTGCTGTATAATGTCTATTATTGACTTAACACATTCAGCTTTAGAAATCTATATCAGAGATAAGCAGTTACGTTTTGGAGTGTCACAACACTGGTCAGTTCACATTCTCCCAAATAGAAGTGCAGCATGACCCAGGAAACCCTCTCAAAATGCAAATATAGTCAAACTGAATGTGTGTTTGCAGATACCAGGGTCCACTTCTAGAGGATGGAACTCTTGAGACAGCTGTGACTGGTGGTGCTGAATCTCCAGAGTTCACCAAACTGTGTGCGTGGCTTGTGTCTGAGCTGAAACTCTACTGCAAACTAGAGGAGAATGTGCAGGCGACCAACTGTGAGTTTGATACTGCGCACATCATATACTCAATCAGACCAAAGAAGAGTCATTTAGGTTGTGTTTCTGCAGAATTAAAATATGTAGGATTTGCCTGATGGATTTGGGTGTGGTGTTTGCAGGTCCAAGCGAGGCGGAGGGGTTTCAGCTGGAGATGAGTGGTCTTTTAGCTGAGCTGTGCTGTCCGTATCCTGCTCTGACCACGGGAGAGGTCACCAAACGTCTGCTGAATGCTAACAACTGCGTCTTACTGTTAAGTATGTAAACAGCAAAAAGATTCTGATCATTTATGTGGTTGTTTAGAACGTGGGATACATTATTTTGTGAAATGTGGTATGTTTAACTAGGGCTGCACAATTCTGGCTAAAATCAGAATCACTTTTTTTTTTTGCTTAAAATCAAGATCACAATTTTCTCAGGATTCTGTAGATGTAAAATTAAGGTTATTATGAGTAGGCTATTATGATTGTTATTTCTCAAACATGGTAAAACAACAACAATAATTTTAAGTCTTATGTGTAGGTCTACTGTTGGTTAAAATGCTACATTTTGTATAGACTTGGAATGCTGGACTTGACTAGAGTTTAAAGGGTCACGAAACACCAAAACACATTTTTTGAGCTGTTGACAGTTGTATATGTGTCCCACACTGCTAAAAACACTATAAGGACACCTATATTTCACTAAAAAGTGTAAATTGGTTGTTTTTGCATTATTTCAAGCAAATTCGTACTTCCGGTTTGAAACAAATTTTTTAAGCTGCGTCACGGTCATGACATAATAGCGTGTATTCCAGCGTGCAGACTGGGCGTCTGTGCCAGAGTGTGTCTTATCACGTCTTACAGTGTGATGCATTAATGCATGAGTAAGGCTTGGTTCAAACCAATCAGCGCGCTCTATTGTGCAACTTCATTAATATTCATTACTATCACCGTGTTTACACGACAAAGACGCCACGTTGTATCGGCAAAACAAGCATGAAGTGTTGCTTTTATAGTTTGCTGCAGTTAAGTTTCGTTTTCAATTTCTCTCTGTGAGAGCTCAGAGTCACGTGTGGATTAACAGTGTACGTGACGCTCGACAACAATAACTTACGTGTCTAAGGAGGATTATTGTTTACCTGAGAGCTGTTCTCATCTGCAAACGCTGAGATCCGGATTCGCTTGTAGTATTCTCTTCATAAAGACGCGGCTCTAGTAGTTGCTGGTGATTGTCCTGTCTCTACAGATTTGGTAAGTGAGCGACCAGTGCTCTTTGTTTATTCAGTTTGTTCGTATCTAACAAACTATTGCACCGAGTGTAAACACGTTAGCACCACAACCAAACTTTAACCTCGTGTAGGGTTTTTACCGCATTTAGTGATCGGAATAACACACGCGGCTTTCTGAAGCTACCTGCCGTGTGCATCTAAGTTTCCGGGAAATGCAGAGGGTTTTTATTCTCTCACTCGCCGTGCGGTATCAAACATTGCATGAAAAATACACGCTTAGAGCAGTTCCTCGAATCAAATATCTCATTTGTCGTGAGGGGCATGAATGAATTCCCTGAATGAAAGAGCCAAACTGCAGTTAAAGTCCACCATTTAATAATTTGGCAAATAATTCGACTACAGATGTCCATGTAGGTTAAACACCATCACTTTCTACTGTGTGTGTGAATTTTGACTCTGAAACTCGCGCGCGCCCAAATAGACACTCCCACACCCTCCCACTTTAGTTCCTCCGACACTCCCCCCTAAACAGAGCTGGACACGCCCACTTTTCTGACTTTTTCCAAAGTAGAGGTGTGAAAACACCCTGCTGAAACGAGGGGGTTTCATGGCCCTTTAAAGAGCCCTTATTATGGGTTTTTGAAAACGACTTTCCATGTAGTCTGTAACAGTGAAGTGAACAGTGAAGTCAATTGTCAAGCAGAGGCTTAAATCTGAAAGTGGACAGTGTTTAAAACTATTGATTCGGTTATAAAAGAGTCAACTCATTGTGGTTCATAACCTAAGCCCCGCCCAATTGTTGCTTGCGCAAACCCGGGAAAATTTAAACCTGAGGTCCCGCCCATTAATACAGTAGCAAAGAAAAGGAAGACAAACAGATCCCAGTTGGATCAAGTCATGAAGACGCTGTGCTTAGCTGGATATTATTGGAAGTATGAGGGAAAGTTAGTGTTATTTTCTCTACTTTCTGGGAACAAATGAAACGCTGAATGAATCATATCATATCGCTGGGATAATTTGCTAAAAATAAATGCATATTATAAGACCATGAAAGTGTGTTTTGACCTTGCATTCATATCAGCATGTTGATTGAGACACATAAAACCAAAATATGACCCTTTTTAATGTATAATAGGGGCTCTTTAAATTTATCCTGGATGCTAATTCACAACTATAAATAGTTCTAATGTTGAATTATTATGTTTAAGACACATGCTTGTCATTTGTCATAGACAAGATTATTAGACCATTTTTTTTTCACTGATAAAATGAGACATTTGTCATTATCAGATTTCCTCCTGCATTATATTCAACATTATATAGGATAGAGTAGTTATACTGACAGTTACAAGTCAAATACTTGTCGTAATCATAACTCTAAAATGCGATATGATTATTTATATAATGTTTAGCTTTCAGTTTCACTTTTACTGCTGAGTGCGATTCATGCCATGACTGCTGTGCCTTTGAGGGGGAAAAAATCACACATACAAATCATACTATCTGTGTAGCTCTGTGCAACAAACTGAATGTTATTTTAGAACTTTACTGTCTGTTATTTACAGCCTATGTAGGTTCTGTTCACTAAAGTAGACATGGGCATGTGTCAGCTCCCGTGTGATTTTTGCAGTCGCGAAAACATCATTACATGAAGACAGAAATTACATTTTAGGTGAATTATACCTTAGAAATACAGTATGTGACTCTTTCAACACCATTTCGAGGTACCTTATTTGCTTAGCAACATATGTAAAACAATGTGAAGGCTTGTGCGACTACGTTTTCGCTTCTCTCATGAACTTGAAAATGTAATTGGCTGAATTGTTGAAATGCTGGATTAAGATTTTGTAAGAGGTCGAATTGAGATTGTGACCTTTTTTCGATTAATCATGCTATGTTTAACTGAAAGTAATATTAAATAATACTACTTTGATAAATGTCAGCTATTTGTCAAGGCTGTGTTACTCATATGTAATTATTAATTATTTTTAGTTTATATTCAAAAATGACTAAAACACAAAGCAAATTAATAAAAACTTTATCAGAACAGTGTACATGAATTACTGCATGCATACAGGTAATAATAATCATAAAAACAAGTGACATCAGACATGTGGCTAGAAACACTTTTATAATTGACTATCATGTATTTTCTACACATTTTACAGAAAACACCTGCCAAAATGTCATTCAATAAAACCTTTGATTAAATCTTCGTAGACATATTTAGAACAATAATTATTTGATGACATTAAAAGGATTACAGTGCAGGCCATTATTTTGTCATTTTATTTTTTTAGATTTTAATTTTTTTAATTAGGAACTTTGCTTCTAATTACATATTAGAAAATGTTAATCCCATTTCATTATAAAAACAAATCACTTACAAAAGATTGTAGATTCAAAATGAATGGTTAATACATCCAGGGTCATACATTTTAATGAACAGAAAATATATTTAATATAAACTGAATTTTAATAAATCTTAAATTATATTTAGATACGACTGAATTGAATTTTAAGAACTCCCAGTCTAATAATTCACATTGGGTGTTGAGTGTTAATAAACTGCTTGACTGTCTTGCGTTGTTTTTGCTAAGAAAAATACTAGGCTCTAAATGGCATTTATAATCAAAACATTTCCTCTTGTTGAGAAAAAAGCTTCCTGTACATTTAAAATATATATTTTTTGCAAATGTAGTTTTGTCTGTCTGTCTGTCTGTCTGTCTTTCTATCCACAACTATTTTAGCTAAAATTAAAATGCGAAGTGATTAATTAAAAATAATACAAAATAAAATTAGCTCAAGATCTCCATAAATCTGATTGATATATATACCATCCTTCCAGGCTTCTTGATTTCTGAGCTGGAGTCATCCAGGATGATCGTGGTGAATCAGCCTCAGAAGAAGGTGCAGGAGACGGGAGGCAGTAAAGTGTTCATGGAGCTGAAGGGCATCTGTATGGCTCTGGGCATGTCCAAACCTCCATCCAACATCACCATGTTCCAGTTCTTCAGTGGTATTGAGAAAAAGGTGAGATTTATTCTCAGCTGATTTATATTACTATGCATGTCATGAGTCCGCACACGTAATTGTAAGAGTAAAGTACAATAATACAGTAAAACCTCTGAACTTGGGAGTTATTCTCATCAGAATGCTTTTTTTGGTGTATGGTAGTATTTATTAAGATTTAATAATGCCTTTTTGTTTTCCTTTTTCAGTTTCTGATTTAATTTTAGTATGTTCATGTTGGTAAATTCTGTTTTAGCTTTAGTAAATTAGTTCATATTTCCATTTCAGTTGTTAGTGACTTTCTTTATATCAATTTTTTTTAAACTATTATTTTTAATACTTACGATGCTATTCAGGGCACATGCTTGTAACTGTGACAGAAAATTCTTATAAATAAACACTACAATGCACCAATCCAAGATGGCATAACAGTCTATAAATAATACATTACTGTATGTTTTCTCCAACAGCTGAAGGAAGCATTGGCCAAGGTCCCTCCATCTCATATAGGAGAACCTCTTATGAAGAAACCACTGGGCCCTGTACACTGGGTAAGCTGGGATTTAAATGTTATCTTATATAATCTCTAGAAAATGTTTGATTTCAATATTATTTTGACTATAGCATTACATACATTGATGGGACTCTTTGTATCTACAGGAGAAAATTGAAGCAATTAACCAAGCACTTGAGAATGAGTATGAAGTCAGAAGGAAAATGTTGTTGAAACGACTGGATGTGACCGTTCAGTCTTTTGGCTGGTCAGAAAGAGCCAAGGTATCAGGATCTCTCTTTTATAATATAAAACAAAGTGTCACATTTATATCAATTAAGCTAAAAGACCAAGTAAAAAATGTGCCTTAAATGAAAGGGACGAAGTTTTATTGTAATTATTTTCAGACGCATGCTGATAAACTTTCGAAAGTATACCAGCCTCTTCGTGTAGCACTGGCCACAAAAACCAGAGTGTCTGTGGCTCACCTGTTTGCTGCTAGAGAAGATTTATCAAAGATCCTGAGAACCAGCAGTGGCCACACCAGGGAGAAAACAGCCTGTGCCATCAACAAGGTGGGCTAGTTTAGAATGACCTTTGTTGTTTTATTTTCCGTCTGTCTGTCCTACCGTCTGTCCGTCTGTTTGTCTGTCTGTCTATCAAATAATGGTGTAATGGATCACAAATCTCAATGTTTGAATCACACTGTGGTTTTTGAGTCATGGATTTGGCAATTTTTCAGACAAATGTCATTTGCTTTCTATTTATATAAAAATGTCACTGCAAATACCATTGGTTTAACAAACAGAACTTATAAGCTGTAATTTTAATAAAAATCAAAATCAAGAAATAACCAGCTGAAAAAAGGAAAAATATTCAATACGAAAAATGATCTTTGCTACTGTTGCTGATAATGCAAAATATAGAAATCTAACATCTTGTACAACAAATTATATTTATGTTAAATTAGTGATTTAACAATTCACACATAACTCTTCATGTTTCATTATAGGTGGATCATTTTTTAAACCTATTCAATGACATAATTTTGATGGTTGTAAACAATGTAATTGCTTCAACATTAACCTGCGTCAAGTTCCATTATATGGTGACTTTAATCTTTACCAGAAACATCAGTGTTTATATCTGAACTATAAACTGTTCTCCCAGTACTTCTGTCTTATTTAATTGTTTGTAACAAACTAAAAAGTGTAAAAACTGAATCTCCCTTTATCAAATGAATATTTGAATGCAGTAATTCGAAGGATTATTTAACATATGCAAATCATTATCATTTATCCATATGTTGCGTGGGTTTGAATTGAGATCACACTCTTTTAATGTTTAATTGTGCAGCTTAACAAACAGTGACAGAAAACACCTTTATTAATAACCTAAGAAAGCATTAAGGTCCCACAGAAACTTTCCATCATCATTATATTTGACAGAAAAGCCTAAATGCTTTCATTTAGCCTATCTAATAATAATATTATTATTATATTATTTAATTTTTTTTTAACGAAACCTCACCAAGATTGCATATTGTATGTTAAGAATAATAATATTATGAAATGTTGTTTAAAATAAATGTTTTTATTTTGATATAATAATTTTAACTATTCTTGTGGGAAAGCAGAATTTTCAGCATCCATTACTCTAGTCTTCAGTCACATAATTATTCAAATATTCTGATTTGCTGCATTATTATTTCTGTATTAGAAATTGTTATTGATGCTATTATTATTGATTTACTGTTAAATATTTTGGTTGGAACCATGCTTTTATTAAGGATTCTGTAAAGAACAGAAAGTTAATAATAACAGCCCCTATTTAATGTAAACGCATCCATAATATTACAAAACAATTTGTCACTTTGGATCAATTTAATGAATTATTGCTGAATAAAAAAAAAAACAAATATTATTTCTTAAGCTTAATTTTACCTCAAAATTTGGATCAAAGTGCATCACTTTTTTCCACAAAAATAAGTAGTTCACACAAAGAATAAGTAGTGCATAAGATTTAATATTATTATTATTATTATTATTATTATTATTATTAATGTTGATCATTGCTGAATCAAAGCATTAATTTTAATTGACCTCTTCTTCTTTTTTTTCTTCTTTTTTTTTACACCAAACTACTAAATGATTGCACATCATATCTTGGTTTTCACAAAATTTGTTGATGAATAAGAATCTCCAAAAGAAATGTTCATTATTATTGTTAATGTTGCAAGCAGTTGTGCCATTTAATGTTTTATGAACCATGTTTAATGAGCATGGTTTATAATACATGTATATTTTTTAATACAGGAGGTCAAACTAATTTGAATAATGTCATAAATCTTATTTATACATATGTTAGTTTATTTATTTATTTTGAATTACCAAACTTTAAATACCACTATTATTCTTACATTTACCAGGTTCTGATGGGTCGTGTTCCTGATCGAGGAGGGAGACCCAATGAAATCGAACCCCCACCTCCAGAGATGCCCACATGGCAGAAACGCCAAGACGGTCCACAAGGTGGCGGTGGAGGAGGCCAGTATTACTCTGGAGGAGGAAGAGGTGGAGGACGAGGGGGTTACGATCAGCAGCAGGGAGGCCGAGGAGGTCACGACAGGGGAGGTGGTGGAGGCGGCAGAGGTGGGAGAGGAGACCACCGGGGAGGCAAAGCCCAGGGCAACTGGCAGGATGGATACCAAGGTCATTACCAGGACGGAGGATATCGAGGGGGTTACGGAGGAGGAGGTGGCAGTGGCGGAGGTGGCTACCATGGAGCCCAACAAGGGTCAGGATACCAAGGAGGAGGCTACCAAGGAGTCCAACAAGGACCTGGCTACCAAGGTGGAGGAGGAGGAGGAGGCTACCAGGGCGGAGGTGGCGGTTACCAGCACGAGGGCTACTATCAGGACGGAGGACGACACCAGGAGAGAGGTGGAAGAGGAGGTCGTGGAGGAAGAGGACGGGGAGGAGGAGGTGGAGGAAGAGGCACTGGGCAGGGAGGAGGCTGGGGTGGAAGAGGAGGGCAGAATTTTAACCAGGGCGGGCAGTTTGAGCAGTTCTTCCAGCAAGGTGGGCACCAGTACAGCCAGGCAGGGTTTGGCCAGGGGAGACAGTTTACTAGCTGAAAACAGACTGTTTCTGCAATCCATGGCTTCAAAGAGGACCCAGAATTCTCTGAGGGCGGGAAACCAAGAGAGAAGTACACAGGCCTCTGAGCGAGCAGGTAGACATTACATTTCATCATTCCCATGGTGCCTCTGGAGTCTGCTTTACCGAGATCTCCTGTGAATGAACAGTGGGCTTCTGCATGTGTACTGTTGGTCAAAACGGTTCTGCTTCCACCAGAGCAAGTGTCCAAAAAACTCCCAGGATGAACTTTGCGTTGCTGGGCTTCTTTTCTTTCTCTTTTTTTATTTTCTTCTCCTCATTGATGATCGACATCGGTCCAGTCTACTGCCTGATCTACGCTGCCCCGACTCTGAATCTGATGAAGCCTTATACTAGACAATTTATGAAGAACATTTGTTTTTCTAGTTTTATTTATGGAAATATTACTTTGACAACATTAGTTCTCAAGGTCCATACTGTTATTTCAGGAATCAGCACTTAATGGAATTTTTTTTGTCTCTGTTTAACATGCGAGACAGTCTGCCAACGGTTATGTGTGAATGTTTATTTGCTGACTGACTGTGTGGAAACCCTAAGATTGATTGATTGACTGACTGAGTTGATTTGAGATTTCTGGTGTTTTGGGAAACAGTGTTAAAGATCACCTTTACAATGTTAAAAGGTTTTTGAATGAATTAATAAACCAAGACAAGAGCTGAGCTTTTTGTTTTTACTTTTTGAATTTTACTGTAGTTGTATCTTTACCATTGTATTAAAAGAGCGATGATTAGCAGTGAATGTAAAATGTCTGGTAAAAGTTTTCAGCAGACAAAATATAAAGTAGGAAGTGTTCAGGCTCTTGCACAGCAACTAACACAGCATCTGAAATTGCATTTCCCCCTATTATATTACATAGAAAAACAAGCAAGTACTACAGGGATGCACAATATTAGAAAATTATGCAATAAGGTGGAGTATAGTGATAATGATTCACCAACCTACTATAACATTTCCCTATAAAAATTCTATTTTTTATATTTATTTATTTAAATATATTTATTGATATTGAAATAAACAGGTATAGTTTTCATATCTAATTTAGACCAAAAAAATAAGGTGCAAATGGTTTCCTTAAATCACTTTGAATGAGTGAAAACCTCAGCATTTATTTTCAGCATTATTATAATGATCATTTTGTGCAGCCCTACAGAGCAGTCTTAATTAGTATGGGCTGGATTTTGATTACCTGGATTTCCTCCTATGTAAACTGCAATTTTTGAAACAACTATGATGGACACTACGATCCCGTAAACATTTGCTTCCCTCTGCTATGAAGCTTTATAAGAGGCCACACTCCTGCTTCAGAAAACACCACCAAACCTTAACACTTAAAGGGCTAGTTCACCAAAAAATGAAAATGAGTTCCTTACGTTAAACAATATCTTGAAGAAAGCTGGAAAAATTGTCTTCCATAGTATTTGATTTTCCTTCTATTTAGAAGTCAGTGGTCAAGTTTTCGGCTTTCTTCAAAATAGCTTCTGCTATGTTCAAAAGAATAAAGAAACTAAATGTTTGAAAGTAAATTTTCATTTTAAGGTGAACTATCCCTTTAACCTCCCCCTTTCACTTTTTTTTTTTTTTTTTTTTTTACTTTCTCTGGAAACTTGTTTTCATCACTAAATTGAAGTTTGGACAAGTTCTCTGTTCACACAAAATGCTCTTTAGCAGAGGTTAGTCTAGTCTTCTGCTTCATTCCACTGACGATGGTTTGGTCACAGAAGAGTGGACTTCTCTTGCTGTGAAAGGGTGTCTTCATCTGGACAGCCTGAGAGTTTCAGTCACTTTAAAACATTTTACAATCTTGTGGTCAGTGAACACTTAAATTAAGCTGCCTGAAATTGGTTTTGTCAGAAAATTAGGAAATTAGCACAAGGTGCCTGATTAACATTGATAAATGAGAAAACGTCTCGGGTTACGTATGTAACCATAGTTCCCCGAGAGGGAACGAGACACTGCGTCTAACCAGAACGCTAGGGGAACACCTCTTTTATACGCGTCTTGAAGCACATGTGAAATCAATCTAATGTAATTAAGCAGGTGTCGTCAGACCAGAGAGTATAAAAGCCTGTACTGAGCATTCAGTATCAACTTCGAATTTGCTTGAAAGAAGTAACAGGCAGAAGAGAGTATGGCGGAATACGCAGTGTCTCGTTCCCTCTCGGGGAACTATGGCTACATACGTAACCCGAGACGTTCCCCTTCTAGGGAACTTCAACACTGCGTCTAACCAGAACGCTAGGGGAACGCAATACCCACTAGGCCAGACTCACTGCTGACTGTGAACGCACACTACGCAGTGAGAATAGAGGACCCTGGTGAGGGGTCTACATCGAGTTGATAGTGACGCACAAATGTATGTGGAGTCGACCATCCTGCCGCCAAACAAATGTCAGAAAGGGCTGAGCCCGAAATAGAAGCTTTGGAGGCCCCGACAGCCCTTGTGGAGTGGGCCTTAACAAATTTAGGTGCAGGGCGTCCAGCAGCCTGATAGGTAAATGAGATAGTCTCAACTATCCAATTACTTATTGTCTGCTTATTTGCCGGACTCCCCCTTTTTGAGGGTCCGAAGCAGACCAGTAACTGTTCACTCTTTCTCCAGTTGATAACTCGGTTAACATATGTATTCAGAGCTCTAACTGGGCAGAGTAAGTTTAACTTCTCTTGGTCCGACGACTGAAATGGGGGCGGGTTAAAGGCCTGTAGCACAGCAGGTCTCGCCACATGAGTGGGCACCTTAGGCACGTACCCCGGTCTGGGATAAAGAAAGGCTTTGGACATGCCTGGAGCAAACTCCAGAAATGAAGGTGCAACCGACAAAGCCTGGAGGTCACCAACCCTTTTTAAGGAAGAAATAGCTAATAAGAAAGCTGTTTTTAGTGTCAGAAACTTATCTGACGCCTCCTGCAGTGGCTCAAATGGGGGAACAGAGATGCCCTCGAGCACCAATGTTAAATCCCATGTCGGTACCCTGTGTGTGCTGACAGGCCTTAGCCTTATGGCTCCACGAAGGAAGCGACGAATTAGCGGATCCTGTCCTAGTGACTCATCATCTAGGGGAGAACGGTAGGCCGCTATAGCTGACACGTACACTCTCAGAGTGGATGCAGCTAACCCAGCAGACAGGCGATCTTGGAGAAATTCCAGCACTGAGGCTACCTGGCAGCTGACTGGGTTCAGCTGGTGTTCTCTGCACCAAGCTGAAAAGAGAGCCCATTTTAGGGCATAAAGCTTCCTTGTGGAGGGAGCCCTGGAGCTTAGAATGGTCTGAGCAACCTCGGTTGACAGTCCATACTCTATGAGGTGGGCCCCCTCAGAGGCCACACCCACAGTTTCCACAGGTCGGGTAGGGGATGAAGTATCATTCCTCCCCCCTGGGACAGAAGGTCCCTGCTGATGGGGATCTCCCACGAGAGACCCGCCAGCAGGGCTATGAGGTCCGAAAACCAAATCCTGGTAGGCCAAACCGGGGCTACCAGCAGTGACCGTACTCAGTCTTGACGGACCCTCTCCAGGACTCCTGGGAGCAGAGCGATCAGGGGAAAAGCATACAGACGTAGCCTCGGCTATGTCTGAACCATGGCAACCAGTCACGGAGGGGCTGGATGCGAGAGAGAAACTCATAGTACGCAATGCGTGGTCTCTTGGGAAGCAAACAGGTCTACCTGCTCTTTCCTTAATCTTTCCCAAATGGACTCCACCACCTCGGGGTGAAGAAGTTTCCATTCCCTGGATCTCACCCCCTGCCTCGACAGGAGATCTGCTCCCATGTTCAGATGGCCCGGGACATACATTGCCCTGATGGACAGGATTTTGTTCTGGGCCCACAGGAGGATCCGATGTGCTAGTTTGCATAGCATTCGAGACTTCAGACCCCCCTGCTGGTTGATGTAAGCGACCACCAATGTGTTGTTCGTGCAGACTAAAACATGATGGCCCCTTAGATCTGGGAGAAAGTGTTTTAAGGCCAGAAACACGGCCATCATCTCCAGGCAGTTTATGTGCCAGTAACGATGATGTTCTCCCCATCGTCCCGCTGCGGGAAGCCCCCTCAGGGTTGCTCCCCAGCCCGTTAGAGAAGCATCTGTCATAAGCATGACGCGATGACAGACAGCCCCCAACACTAGGCCCTGGGACAGATACTAGGGCATTTTCCACATACTTAAGGCTCGAAGGCAGCGCCGCGAGACCTTGATCATGCGGATCAAGCCCGTTGCTCCCTAGCCCGTCAGAGAAGCATTTGTCATAGGCATGACGCGATGACAGACAGCCCCCAACACTGGGCTCTGGGACAGGAACCAGGGTATTTTCCACATACTTAAGGCTCGAAGGCAGTGCCGCGAGACCTTGATCATGCGGAAAGGATTCCCCTTGAGGGAAAACCCCCTGGATTTGAGCCACCACTGCAGGGGTCTCATGTACAGCAGACCGAACGGAATCAAGCTGGCTGCTGCTGCCCTGAGACCCAACAACCTCTGAAAGTGTTTCACAGTGATGAACTGGCCTAGTTTGACTCTGTGTACGGTTGACTGAATCGATTCGATTCATGGCGGGGACAGACGTGCTCGCATCGTCATGGAGTCCCATGGCACACCTAAAGAAATGGTCGTCCTGGCTGGAACAAGCACACTTCTTGCGGTGTTTAACCGAAACCCCAACCTTCTGATATGGGTGAGAACGACATCTCGATGCCGAACTGCCATATCTTGAGTCTGAGCTAGAATTAGCCAATCGTCTATGCAGTTTAGGATACGTATCCCCTGCATACGAAGTGGAGCTAGTGCCGCTTCGACTATTTTGGTAAAGGTTCGAGGTGACAGAGCTAGGCCGAATGGAAGAACCCGATACTGGAACGCTTCGCCCCCGCAAGCGAACCTCAGGTATTTCCTGTGTTGGGGAAGGATGGAAATATGGAAGTATGCGTCTTTCAGGTCTATCGTCACAAACCAGTCCTCGGACTGAATTTGTGACACCACGTTTTTGATGGTTAACATCCTGAACCTGAGGGCCTCGACGGACCGATTTAGATTTCTCAGATCTAATATGGGACGCAATCCCCCATCCTTTTTGGGAACTATAAAATACCGGCTGTAAAACCCTGACTCTTTGTCGAGTGGGAGAACACGCTCTATTGCGCCTTTTATTAATAAGGCCAGTACTTCCTGTTCCATAACCAGAGCCTGTTCTGGCTTCACTATGGTGGGTGCAATACCGTTGAAGCGAGGTGGGCGTGCACAAAACTGTATTTTGTAGCCGTGTTCTACTGTGAACAGGACCCACTGGGACACCATCGGCAGGTGTTTCCACGCTGCCAAAAAATGTGCTAGGGGTACCAGCCTCTCGAGACTGGCCTCTGGTTGTTCTTTGACCCCCCTGCAGAGGGGGTGGGGCCCCCAATGCCCTCAGACACTGAGGAACGCCCACCCCGGGAGACACAGAGCCCCCCACCAGCATACGTGGTGAGGTGGTCTCTCCCTTTCTCCACGGACCCTGGTTCAGTGAGAGCGCTGAATGGTGCTCTCGGCGTCCAGGGGGGGCCCTGGAAAGCCTGACTCCCAACACGTCAGGACTTTGTTTTATCCTTTGAACTTTATGATATGAGGAGCTGGTTGACGGCTGGCCCAGACTTTTTGATCTTGGGGGGAGAAAGTCCCCGAGGGAG